GTTTTCCTTCCCAGGGCGCCGCTGGTCTCTGCCCGCAGGACGGGACCCCTCGGGCTCCATTGGTGCAGCCCTGCCCTGCACGCTGCGGGTGGAAAGCGGCGCGATCCTGCTGCAGCTGCCGCGGGGCCAAAGCCAAGGGGGGAGCAGGGGTGGGCTGGGGTGAGGGTGGGTGCCGCGGGAGGACAGCGGGGCTGGGTGGGCTCTGGGCGGCAGCGCCCGGGGCTGGCCCTGGCGGGGGTCTTCCCAGCCCGGCCCCTGGGATGGCTGAGGGTGCCGGTGCCTGCTTTTCCAGGGAGGAGCGGAGGAGCTGGCAGAAGGAGCTGGGCAGGAGCGTGAGGAAGGGCAGCTGCCAGGCTTTGTGCTCCCCGGGGACGCTCGGAGCTCCCGAGGGGCCGGGATGGGCTTTCCCCCTCTGCCCCCCCCGGTTTTGTCAAGATTTGTGCCCCACGTTAACTTTGTTTGTCTCCCGGCTCTGCTTACACTCTACTGGGGTTTTGGATAACAACATGTAAATTGTTATTCCAGAAGCTTAAGACCTTCTCCTTCCCTGTAGACTCACAGGAACGCCATCTTTTGGTTTTATTTTCCAGGAACGATGTTTGGGATCTATAGACATTTCCTGAGAGGCAGGAGGAGTCCAGAGGCTCCCTAGAAGCACCAAAGCAGTGCAAGCGCTTGTCTGAGCCGGGTTCCCCAGGCTGGGCTGCCGTCAGAAGCCAGGGAGCACTGGCTGCCTCATGGTTCAACAAGGAGGAGCTCCTCACGTTAATGGCAAGGACGTCCTGGACAGAGCAAAGTGACATTCTGACTGTCAGAATCAGTGTCTGCTTCCATTGGGCACTTAGGTTTCTAGTCAGCTAATTAGAAGCCTCTTCCTTTAGACCAAAATCTGGTTTTGTAGTTGGCACAAGAGAACTCACTGGGACATGGGTTTTCCTGCAAGCATCACTGTTAGGCTTTCGTGGGATAACAAGTGGCTGGGTTTTGATCAGTGCTCAGCTGATCATCGGAGCTTTTCAGTTGTGTCCGTTTTAGAAGTACAACGTGGCTGCCAGGAAGGCTCAAGACAGCTCTCTGAGAGGGTGTTTCCTCTCAAAAACCCCAGATGAGACTAACGCTGCTGCTGTTGCGCTTCTGTGGCCCTCCAGGAATCGCACTCTGTGTGTGCAGCAGGGGAAGGAAAGAAGCTCTGGGAATCTTTGCGTGAAAGGTGCCTAAACCAAGAAAAGGCAAAGCTGACATCATCGCAGTTTGGGAGAGAAAGGGATGAGCTCCCAGGGCCACTGTCAAGGGACTGTCATTAGGCTCCAGAGCGAACGTTGACTTGAAAGCAGTTGCAAGACCTGCCACGAGGGAAAGGCCAACGCCTCTGCTGCTCTGGGCTCCCACTGGAAGCCAAAGCGCTCCAGCACCCGCCACCAGCACCTCCTGCCCCTCTGCCCCCTCCCCCGCCCGTGCCAGGGCTGCAAAGGGGTTGCCGTGCTGGGGCACAGGGGGCACTCGGGGCCATGCCACGGCCAGCCTTCCCCTCTGCAGCGGGGTCCAGGCCCCGGCGTCCCCAGGGACTTGCCCCGAGTCCTGCTGTGCGAGGAGGCAGCCAGGCGCTGCCGAGCGAGCGTCGCCAGGCTCTCTGAAACGGGGTCCCCCTTGGTCAGAAAGCTCCCCAACCAGCTGTCCCGGCCCCGCCCGAGGGGTGCTGGCGGGGGTCCCCTCCACAGGCCTCCTCAGGAGGCATCTCTGCCTGGACCGGGAGACCCCCCCGCCGTCCCCACGGGGCACCTCTCATCAGAGGCGCCGCAGAGGCCCCTCCCTGGCCCCGCTGCTCAGAGCTGGGCCACGTCCCGGGGCACACGGCCAGGAGGCGGTCGCGCTCGG